TCTTCTTCTCTTCAGGTTTCTTTTCATATTTCTTCTCGAATCTCTTCTCTTCATATTTCTTCTTTTCACCGAATTTATCTTTAAATTCATGTTTTGAACCTGAAGAGAATCTCTGATTATTCGAATGCGGTTTCTTCTGAAACTTCTTTTGAAATGCTTTTGTCAGCATTGTCATGGCATGTTTGAATTCATTCATCTCTGAGTCTGAGTCAGAGCTGTCGCTTTCTTCACTTGCCGATTCACTTGACTAACTAATCTTCTTCACTTGCTTCCCAGATCTGCTTTTACTTTTCTTCTTTGATACAAAGGCCAAAGGATCAGAAACTTCCTTTTCCTTTTTCTTCTTTGAATCTCGAACCTCTAAAACTTCTTCCTCGTTATGTTTCAGAGTTTCATAAACCTCATGTATATCTATATCAGATAAAGATTTATTGAATATGATATGATTGGCATAAGGCTTCCATTTTGGTTGTAAGTTGCAAAGGAATTTAACATTTATCTCTATGACAGTCTTAGACATTCCATTCTTGGTCAGCTCATTCAGCAATCTTGTAAGCCTATCATATACATCGTCAATGCTCTCTCTTTATTTAGCCTTAAACTCTTCATACGCAGAAACACAGTTAGTGATTTTTAACTGAGTTCCCACTTAGGAACCCATCATCATTTTCTCTATTTGTACCCACATGCTATGACCAGAAGATTTGTGACTGTCAATGCTTGTGTAAATGTCATTGGTCAGTGCTTGCATCATGTAGGATTTGCATAACACATCAACATGTGCTCTCTCCTTTTCTTCAGCAGTGTATCTGGACTTCTCTTTAATTACTCTTTGAGCAGGTCTGCCTCCATCAGGGATGGCAGGTGTTTCTCTTCAGAAAATTGCAGGTCCTTCCATCAAAGATTCCAAGATCAGCTCACCTTCTTTCATTCTTTCGATAAAATTCAGGAATCTGTCTCTCCACTGATTTTAATCTCCTCTAAATAGGACTGGTGGCTTGGTGTCAGTACCAATAGCCATAATTCGCACACTTAACAAATTGAATACGGACGTAAAAAGTCAACAAGTCAACAAGTCAAGTCAAACAAGTCAACAATTCAATATACGATCAAATCCGCTCAATTACAAAGTCAAACTATTCAATCCGCTTAACAACGAAAGTCAAAATCCGCACAAAAGTCAAAATTAACAATCCACTCAACAGATTAAAGTCAAAGATCGTACAAACACTAAATCGCACAAACACTTGAGACCAAGATTAAATCGCACAATATACAAGATTAAATCGCACACTTAAATAGCACAATTACAATCGATTTATCAATTAATTGGACAACGTTTAAAAGATTTACCACTAAATCGCACACACCAACAAGCGATTTAAATCTATATCGCTCAGGCTTTACCCGGTTTATCCTAAATCGAACAATCAAGAATTCACACAGAATATCCAAGTCTTAAATCGTTCATGCACTAAGCGATTTACACTAAATCGATCAAGAGTTATACGGATTAATATTCAAACACAATTTTAACACCTTTTTACCAAAAATTTGGATCAAAACATGAAAAACTATGAGTTTTTGAAGAACAGAAACTATTTTCGTAAACTTAAAAATCGATCAAAAATGATTCAAAACTTGAATAAAATCCAAAATACTGTGAATCAAAGATGTTCAGATAGTAATAGCAAATCTAGTAGTGCAAATTTTATCAATTAACACTAAGAAATGAAGCGATTAGAGCAGAAAATGTGCAATTCGGTCAAAAATCTCAAGAACAGTGATGAACAGATGAAGAACAGTCGATTAAATCCACTAAATATGTGCAAAATTCCTTGAAAGAATTGTAAATCCTCTATCAAATTGCTACAATCTGTGCTCTGATACCAATTGATGTTCCCAAAATCATACAAATCAGATTATCATCCAAGAACTTGAATCAAGATGAGTAGAGAGATTTATCACCAAAGTTGAAATGTATTTCTTGAGAGAAAAGTAAAAGAGATTAACAACATTAATCTGAAATTATGAACTGAACTAATTACAATTAGAGAACTAAAAACTATTTATACTAAGGAAATAGTAAAGGCTAACAATTACAAAACAATTACAAAGGGAGAACTTGAATACAACAATAAAGCACATTCTTGAACCCAACACAAAGATACCACCCCTGGAGCAAAGGAAAGAGCTAAAATTATTCTAAGGTCAATCCATAACCTGTTGGAGTTTCGAGAGCTTCTTAGGAGGTTCATCAAGCTTCAAAACATCTAGGCCTTTCTTTTGTAAGAAATTTTTTTTCTTTCAAGCAATGTACTTTCCTTTCATCGTATTGTACTTTCTAGATAGATAATGTAAAACAGAGGTTCCTTTTAACCTCTAGCTTCGAATAGACTTATGTTTTTCAATTCAAGTAAGAGTCTGCCTTATTTACACTTAGGGAGAGATTGTTAAACCCCATCTTGTGAAAGTGTAAGTAAGAAGCCTCTTACTCTAGTCAATAGGACTTAGTCCATTGAAGCAGTCTAGACTAAGAGCTCTCATGCAGAAGAGGTCGAGAACTAGAGCTCTTACTCAAAGAGTGAAGGTTCCTACATACAGAGCCCGCGCTCAATCTCCGTGGACAATCGAGCCTTAAGCGCCAAAAAGCTTAAGCGCTTGATACAAAGCTACATTCCAGACACAGAGCCTCTGCATAGTACATGCACAGCTTTTGTATAGTACATGCAGAGCCTCTAGTCTCCTTCTCCATGGAACGCGCGTGTAAGTCCAAACATTCTCGCAAGCGTCAAACAGAATCAAGGCGACTTGACTTAGTTCGCTCCACTTTTCAAGGGTAGTCAAAGATAAGGACGCGCACTCGGCAACTCAGAGATTCAAGCCGTAATTTTAGCATAGTTGTTTGACTTAGGCATATATAAGGAGGCTTCCTCCTCAGGTTCAAATTACCTGAGAGTGCCGACTTATACTATAGCATATTTCTTGTGAGAATACATTTAGATTGAAAGTTATTATCTTCATCTAATAAAAGCATCCAATTTATTCAAGTCGTTTATTGTTCTTCTATATTTTGAATATTTTGTTTGATCACACTCAGTTCACTGTTCATACTTCAATCTTATTTATTATCAACTGCGTTTTTTTGAGAATTAAGAGTATCTGGGTTCCAACAGGTTTGAACAAACAAATGCAACCAAAATTATGTGTGACAATAAGTCGGCTATTGCTCTCACAAAAAATCTAGTATTTCATAGAAGGAGCAAGCATATACGGATAAAATATCATTTCATTCATGATTTGGTTCACGATAAGGACATCGAGGTGAACTTCTGTGGTACTAAAGATCAAGTTCCAGATATTTTGACCAAATCTTTACAAGTTGGGAATTTCCACAAGCTGAAGAAGGATCTGGGCATGAAATGTGTCTAGGTTACGAGGGAGTGTTAAGTTCTAAGCTAGACGGTTTGGTAGTAGTTATTTTCTATTATGTATTAATTGTTGCATCATTTCTTTGGTAACCGTTAGGATAAGGTGCAACAGTTGAAGGTGTATATATATTTGTATGTTTGTATCTCTGAAATGTGTTAGTAAAAACACAGAAGTGTAGTTCTTAAAAGGTGTGATTATACGTGTTTATAATAGTCGTACCAATTTCCTCTAACAAATACAATGCAAAGAACTAAATGAAATTTCAATATTTGAAAGAAAAATTATGTCAAACTCTTATGAAGATTCTCAAATAAAATATATGAATTCCATTTGGTTGATGAACCAAAGAACTAACCTTGTCTGCATCAATGATCGATGAAAGCTTGTGGGGTGGCAGATGAGGAAGACGTATAAGAAATGGTAGATTGTAGAATCTCATACATAGATGACTAAAGAAGAGATAAAAGAGAGATTTGGAGGTGGTGATGGTGATGGTGTTTATCGAGATATGGAGTTCTGAAATTTGAAAACGCAGATCCTTTCTTGGGAGCATGGAAAGCCACAATGGGTCTGGTAAAAGCATGATGCGTCGACGGGGTAGGATAGGTGAAGTGAAGTTGTAAGAATTTGGCATATTGCTTTCTTAGTTGTAACTGTAAGTACGTAAGAGATTTTTGAATTATTTGCATAAAAACAGTATGTTAGATTAAATTGTATAGAGGTGTTACTTTTAGATTTAAGATTTTGGTTTGTAGATGGATCTAACTTTGGTTGTCTACGTTTTTGGTACAAGTATTTCTTCACCTATTTACTTGTTAGTTATGTTTATCTTGTGGTTGTTGATTTGTTTTCTTGGCTGTCTAAACGGAAGTTAGACTTAGACTTTAGAATAGACTTGGATTTTGTTTGTCTATGAAAGTAGGTAGAAGTAAGAGTTTGGAGACTGTGTTTTGTCATTACTTAATACTTCTAGTTCAGGTTGATTGTCACAAAACAAGAGTAGTCGGTTCGCTTAGTTAGAAAGGCGAATTCACCTTGGCAAACCTCACCCTTAGTGGATCTGAAATTGTCAGTAGATTATGTAGCCTGATGACTTTAGTGTTTGTTAGCATAGTTCGTTAATTAGTTGACTTTTGGCCTTTTATTGCTTTCTTTATTGATTTTCGTGTCGTTTATTTTCTAAAATCCCCAAATAGTTTGCATTGCTAATTCATAATTTAAAGCGGCTTATATTTGACCATTTCCTCGTGTTCAACACTTATGTATAACACCATACAATTGCAACTAATTTGAAACACATCAAGGAACAAACTTGAAATATAATTTATACAATATCAAAAGGAGAAACATAATTAATACCGACAGACCCGACTTTCACTCACGAATTTTTTCATCAGTGAAAGACTTATGTTTTATAGTGCTGGTGAACATTATCAGCTTCAAGCTAAAAGCATAGCATATATAACATATATATATATATATATATATTGATTTACACAATACACACATATATATATATATATATACATATATATATATATAATACCATACATATAATACCACATATATCAAGTGGGAGATTTATCCAAGATTACTCGGTTAAGGTATTCTCCCAAACCCCAAATGGGAAATATGTTTCTGTAAGACGAGTAACTTATCATACAGTTCTTGTTAAACACCCCGATAATCTCCTGAAAATGAAGTAAAAGTATCATAATTAAACAAGAATGTAAAGATCATAAAACCGTTGTTAATGAGAACGATTGTGTTTGCAGTACTTACCTGCTGTGGAAAGTCTCCGTTTTCCATTTGGTGATCTACGAGTACTTTTGCAGCAAGATGGAGTGGCATTTGATCTCTCTTAGCCTAATCACGGCCATGATTAAGGTATGCATAAGTTTGAAGCATAATTAACCATAGCCATACGAATAACAATACAAAAAATTGGTCTTTTATGACCCTTTGACCTATCACTACCAAACAAAGGACTTCACCAATGGATTTTTCTTATGGATACAGGGGATTTGTGGTGGATCACTTATTACTGGTGGATACGGCCACCGGTGATGGTCAATCTTTCCGGTGAATCCGTTAGTAATCATGATCACCGGCCACGTTCTTTGCCACAAGATCTGCCGGTGATGGCTTTTTCTGGCGGTTTACAGATGTATGTTTTGTCGGTAAAGACCTTTTGTTTTGTAGTGCATGCTAGCTCTAACAACCTAATAGTATATTTAGTACAACTTGGGTTTATATGAGTAACAACTTGAATCCTATACAATTAAGTTACAATAACTTGTACGAAGAATTGTGAGACAATCTAATGACATAAGAAATAAATCATCTTAGGTCTTTTATACATGAAACATTTAAAAGTGTTTTGTTGGTTTTTTTTTTTTCTATAGGACGTTTTTCGTAAATGTATTATGGAAACACTAATAAAAACATTTATATATTGTTTCTTATTAGATTGCCGCACTTTATCATAAAACTTGTTAGGCCACATAACTTTGTTCTAATAACTTATTGAAAGACCATTGTTTACGACACACGGTTGTTGGTCCTAAAACTTAATAAATAAACTCCTTACAGAATTTTAATAGAATGCCAAGGATCAGAGGCGGAGACGGCTTATAAGGGGGAGGGGGATGGTAGTCCTCACCAGGGGCGAAGACATGGTATAAAGGGGGGGACCCAGTCAAAAAGTTAAAAAAATATTATCTAGGTTAAAATTTATTTTTTACAAAGCTTACTTTCACTCCCACAATAGAATTTTCCACGGGACCCAGTCTATAAATTTTTTGCATCCACCACTGCCAAGGACATATGGGCATCTTAAAAACCCACACTACTACAAAATTGGTTTTATAGTACGCCAAAAATATCCAAGAGTCCTAATTAAAAACTTTGTAGGACTTAAATTATAGAATTAAACCAAAAAACATAATATCTAAAGGTCTTGCATAGATTTTTATGACACTTTTAGGCGTTTCAACAACTTTTTAACGATGTTTTTCAAATAAAGTGTTGTATTAGTATTTTTTTTTTTCATACGACACTATTTGAAAAAGTATCATATAAGCACAAGTGTGTAGTAAAAAGAAAGGTTTATAGGAAATTTCTCAAAAACATACTATAAAATAGCTAATACGACACTTTATTTTAAAAGTGCCCTAAAAAAACTTGTTAGAACGCTAAAAACGCCATATAAATTCATTGTAACACTTTTACTTAGGACGTTTTATAATTGGTCTTATAAACTTAAGTTCTATAAGGTATTATTTTAGGACGTTTAGACATTTTAGGCGTCTTATAAAAACCAATTTTGTTGTAGTGCCACTTTGTTGTAGTTCGAGAATATTCCACTCGAAAGCAGAGAGGGTCTAGAGGTGAGATACACGTAAACATGTGCTCTACTGTAAAGAAAAAAAAAATTAGTTCCATTAAACATAATTCAAATGATAACCTACCTGTTCGGCTTCAATCAGAGCTAGCAATGCCCAAGAAGTGTTTGTGATATGGGCTTTGTTCCCTGTGATATTTGTGTACACCTTCTGTTGGCAAGAAATGTAGCTCTCTCCCCAACCCCCACAATTAAGCTGTTTTGAGAGCAAGAATTCACAAGCTTTTCTAATGCTATGGCTACTTTCATATGTCTTACCTCCTGCAACCAATCCTTTTATTCCAAACCATGTTCCATAAGTATAGCAAATTCCCCATGATCCATACCTATATATATATATATATATATATCAATCACGATAATATGCAATTCCGTAAGGATTAACAAAGAAATATGAAACCGTAAATTAAAAAGTTGGATTAAGAGAATAAAGACCATGAACCGTCGGGCAGTTGCAGGCTCTCGATGAATGATATGGCTTTACTGATGCATGCTTCTATTTCGGCCCTTCGGTGGTTCGGATACAGTTTTGTGAAAGATCTTAAGCCTTGCACCGCAGCCGATGTACACTCCACGTACCTAAGTTACAACTATCCTTTAGACAAGTAAATATAACACAACAAGATCTAAAACTCGCTACAACAAATTGGGTCTATTGGAACTTCCAACCGTCTTTGGGCGTCCTACAAGATTAGTACTTAATTAACGGGACTTTTAATTTTGGATCATCAACTGTCATATACAATGTCGTTATAATAAGTTGTTAGAACAAAATTAGGCGACCTAACGAGTTTTATTGACAAATTTGATCAATCTAATAAGACATTATTAGCCTTTTATATAACAGTTTTGAATAGTGTCATGCAAAAAAAGCCATATATACATTATTGAAACTGTCATATAAAAGAAAATTTATTTTTTGTGTTTTGATCGTTCAATTTGGTCTCTAAAATCTGTTAGATCGTCAACTTTATTGTAACAGGTTTTTTTTTTTTTGAAACGGCAATATATAAAAAAGGCGAGGCAAGCAAGACGCCAACTTTATTGTAACAGCTTATTTTAACAAGATTTTATAAGTTCAATACTTGTTGGTCTTTCAAACTCATAGTATCATGTTGCCCAATGACAGCTAAATGTCTTAAAAGATCCATTTCGTTGTAGAACTTTAAATGTGAATCAGAGCAGGCAGGCAGGCATACGGGTAATCGATGATGATGTCTCCAAATGTTTCAGCTGGATTGATCGCCTACGATACACAGACACGATCAATCTCCGAAACTCGAACATTTTTAAAAAAAACACACACATGCATACTCTTCGTTCAAACAAACCTCTAACCATGTGTAGGACCTCATGAGCTCATACGAGGAAAATCCGCCATTTCCATTCTGGCAAAACACGAAATCATAATAAAACTTGCATAGATCGATATCGTAAGTAATAATGTACATGCAGTCCTCTTGTGGCAACCAGTTATACATATACATACACAAACACACACATATATATAGTTAGGTTCGTGTAACACCAACCTGTTTTCGTGAGACCCATGAGACCACATCTTTACACTTGAAACTTTACAGCAAAACATTGTGATGAAGGCAAAAATAATTCGAACCCTCACAGCAAAAACAATGTGAACTTCACATTGTTTTGCTATGAAGTTTCAAGTGTAAAAAAATGGTCTCATGGGTCTCACGAAAACATGGTCTCACATGATCCCAAATCTATATAGGGTTGAGTTCACGTGAGACAAGACAGTTTTCATGAGACACGTGAGACAATATTTTTACACTTGAAATTTCACAACAAAATGTTGTGAAAGTAAAAAAAAAAGCCCAACCTTCACAACAAAAATACTGTGAAGGTTTTGTTATGAAGTTTCAAGTGTAAAAATATTCTCTAAAAGAGCATTGTCTTTGTCTCGCATGATCCCAGTCTCTCTCTATATATATAGACATATGTATGTATATATGCATTAGGTACCTGAAGAGTAAGAAGCAAATGAACAGCATCATATAAACATTCTGGTGCTATTGCTTCTCCAACCAAATGATTTGGCATTTGTGCTAGCATCACTACCGTCTGCCATCGATTTCATTTATCATCACCCAGATGCAATAATATAATATAATGGAAGTCAGTGTCCTGATAATGTTAGCATGCAGCAGAAACTTGATTTCAATTCAAAGAAGATATATTGACTCAATGTATCCTAAAACTTTCAACTGGGATATATATATATATATATATATATATATATATATATATATCGCTTTGGTTTTGTTTTAGAAGATATAGATCCAGCCAACGTTACACTTGAAATCCAAGTTCTATAGTTGTTAAAGTCCCACGTCGGCTACACTAAAAATCATTACGGGTTGTTTGGTTCACAGAATTCAAAGGAATTGGAATGACCAAATTCAATTATTTTGTTTGGTTTACATAATGAAAATGCAGGAATCCTTTGGATTCCATTGAATTCCACAACTTAATAAATTCATCATTGTGAATGAATTGAATTTCATATTTTTACATCCAATTTAACTAACACTACTCATCTCTCTCCGGCCACTACCATGCTACTTATTGTCACTATCACGCCCCCACCTCTAAACCCCCCCCCCCCCAACTACACTGACAACTAGGTCCACACCTGCCACCAATACCATTGTCGTTGTCGTCATCACAACTGTCATCCCTATCCACCTACCCTCAACTCCGACCACCAATATCACCACGTCACTGATGTCGTCGTCACAACCACCATCTCCCCCACCCACCCCACCACCCTATCAATATTGTCGTCGTTACAGCTACCGCCCCACCCTCCCTTTAAAATAAAGATGAAGATTCCAATTCTTTTGAGAGATTTCATTCCAATTTCTTCCAACCAAACACATGTTCAAATTCCATTTCATTTCGTTCAAAGTCAAATTCATTTGTTGGATTCCAATTCCACCAAACGCCTCCTTAATTTTTTCTCAATACATGTTGGAACTCGCTCCCTTATTGATCTCTCCTAAATAGCTTGTCCTTTGGAGAATAATCTAATTGAGCTCTACATATATAATACAGAATAGTTCGGGAGGGTACTTTGTTCTATTTTAACTTGGTTTAGCTTTACCACTAAGTTGTGATTGGTTAGTAGTTTGTTAATACTTGTAGTGTATGGGTCATTTCATAGTTATTAGATGATGCGGTTCTAAGGTTCTTGGTGTGGAGGATCAGACTTTATTCTACTCTATTGTTCCCGGAGGCTCATGATCGGCTAACAGGAGATGTCACGCTTAAATGCGAATAACCTTTGTTGCAAAACACTATTTGAGTCCCATAATACACCAATTCGAAGCTTGGAATGAGGACTAAAGAAGCCTATGAGACTTTTTTTGCTTAAAACATCATTTAAACAAGTTATAGGGACATTTACTATTTTTTTTTTCCTATTTTCTAATTTTTTGTTTCAGCTTTTATGGTAGGCGGTCAACTTTTTCAAGCTCGTTTCCGTTTGAACTTCTTATTCATATGTTGAATGTGAAATCTGGATGGTCATTGGATCAATAGATAAAACTTACTGTTACGGCAAGAATATTGTATCCAAAATCACAAGATTGAAAACTTGAAGAATGGTCAAAACTGAAAGTCAACCTGGTCAAAGAAAGTCAAAGTTGCTAACAATTGTCAAAAGTCAATGTTTGGTTAGAGCTTACTTGTAGTTTGACTTCTTGTATTAATTATTGGTATAAATACCATATATTACTTGTAATTAGAGAACGGTTCATTCATTGATATATCTTAGAGAGAGATTTTAGAGAGATAAACATGTATTGAGAGAGACTAATCAATATACATGATGATTTAATTTCTAGATTGCTGTTCTTATTGTTTAATTTCATTGTTACCTGAATGAAACTAGGATTAACACTTCCGTTTTCATCCAAATTCCGAGTTCACTGTAAATTCGAGTTCGAGCTTAAATTTCGGTATTTTTTGAATCAATGTGTTTTAAAAGGCATTATTCCGGGTATTTTTTAAATCAATCTTTGTTTTGATTTTTATATGCTACATCACATATCACAATACTATATTTCCAGTTTCTCTCCGTCACACCATATTTGTAAGTATTAAAACATTGAATATGCGGAGATGAAGCTACGTATGTATCACTAAAAAAAAGGTTTCAAAGAACGGATATTTTTTCAGCCATTAATTTCTGACCGATTAACCATCATTGGTGGATTACGGACGAATTTTTCCATTGGTACTCACGATCACCGACCACATGTTCTCCGATGATGAGATCGATCAGTAATCCACCAATGATGAAGCTTCATTGTTTTGTAGTGTATATACTACGTACCTTGAGAGCTTCTGCAGTGCAGTCCGATACAGGCCAACCGTTATCTGGAGTAGAAAATGGCCATCCACCCCTTGATAAGTGACGATACCATGACTCATTATTACCACCAGAACTATTTTCCCGAACCTTCAAATTAACAACAATTAATTAATATATAATAATCCTCTTACCAGCTGGCAACTCCTATCTCAAATATAATAGGGAAAAGTCTAAAAAAACTCAATAGACTTTAGTGTTTGGAATGATTAAGTACTTGATAAGTCCTTGGACATTCCAAAACATGTTAAATAACTCATTGGACAATTTTTTGGAACAAATAAGTCATTGGACATTTCAAAACATGTTAAATAACTCTTTGAACAATTTAAAACATGTTAAATAACTCATTGAACAATTTTTTAGAACAAATAAGTCCTTGGACAATCCAAAACATGTTAAATAACTCTTTGGACTTTTCTAAAACCTGTTGGATACATTCTTATGACTTGTACAACTAGTTAATATGGTAAAATAGTGAAAAAAAAGTCCGAAAAAATCAATGAACATTCATATTTTGAACGATTAAGTCTCTAAACAATTTTTGAACCAAAAATGATTTAGATCTATAAAATTAAACAAGTATAACAAAAAAAAAATACTTATATTTACAAAAAAAATAATTACATTTAAAAAAGATTTTTGATAAAATTTATTTTAATTAAAATTAAAATATATTTAGTCAGTGATTTTTCAAACTAAAAAAAATAAAAAAAATTTAAAGAATTATTGATTTAATTAATTTTAATTAAAAATAAAATATATATGATTTTTTAAATTAAAAAAAATAAAAAAAAAATTAAAAATGATTACTGATGAAATTTATTTTAATTGAAAATAAAAATATATTTTATTTTTAATTAAATTAAATTTCATTAGTAATCTTTTTAAATCTTTTTTTTTAATTTAAAAAATCACATACATGATATATATTACTATAAATTAAAATAAATTTAATAATAATTCTTTTTAAAAATTTTTATTTTTTTTGTTTGAAAAATCACTGACAATATATATTTTAATTTTGATTAAAAAAATTATCAAAAAAAAATTAAATGTAATTATTTTTTTGTAAACGTAAGTATGTTTTTTGTTATATTTGTTTAATTTTATAGATCTAAATGCTTTTTGGTTCAAAAAATATTTACGGACTTAATCGTTTAAAATATGAATGTTTATTGGGGTTTTTTTTGGGACTTTTGTCACTATTTTACCAYTTTAACTACTTGTACAAGTCATAAGAATGTATCCAACAGGTTTTAGAAAAGTCCAAAGAGTTATTTAATATGTTTTGGATTGTCCAAGGACTTATTTGTTTCAAAAATTGTCCAATGAGTTATTTAACATGTTTTAAATTGTCCAAGGAGTTATTTAACATGTTTTGGAATGTCTAATGACTTATTTGTTCCAAAAAATTGTCCAATGACTTAATCATTCCAAACACTAAAGTCCATTGGGTTTTTTTAGACTTTTCTCAATATAATATAACACACACACACACACACATATATTATATATATATATATATATATGGAGATAATCAAATGAGAATCACAAATATATTAAAAACCTGTAAGAAATTGATATAAAAATATTTTTTACACGATTTTTTTCATCAAAACCTATGATTTAAGATATTGTTTCACATATGTTTGTATTCACCTTGTGAAAAGATTACACATGAAAAACAAAATTTAGTTCACCTAATGAAATGAAAAATACACGTAAAAAATATTCACATGGTGAAAAAAATACATGTGATGCAATCATATTATCAAACAAATATATGTGAAACAATATCTTAAATTCTAGCATTTAATGAAAAAATATCATGTAAAAAGATATTTTTATATTAGTTCTTACGAGTTTGTAACATATTTATAGTTCTCATTTAATTTAACCCTTATATATATATATATATATATATATATATATACATATATATATATATATATATAGACTCGGGATCATGTGAGACCAAAAGTTTTTCGTGAGACCTGTAAGACCAATTCTCAACCATTGGATTAGATCTACAATCTGAACATTCATAATCACAAAATTGCCACGAGACTTCTCAATAATTACAAAATTGCCACCGTGCAACTTTAAACCATTAGATCATTAGCTTAAAAAGTTGATCAATGAACATAAATTGGTCTCACGGGTCTCACGAAACACCCTTGGTCTCACGTGAACCCAACCCTATATATATATATATATATATATATATATATATAGACTTAATCAAATGAGAACTGATTAGTTTGTGATAAATGTGAGATCCAATCTCAACCACAAATCAATGGATAAATTAGGAAATTAATAATTATGGTAGTTTGAGTTAAAATTATAATTAGATGGTATTTTAAGTATTTTTAAAAGACTTCTCTCTCCTCTCTTCTCTCTCTCTCATCTCTCATCTCTCCGACCTCCAATCTCCGGCCTCCGGTGAACAAAAATCCGACAAATACCAAGTAATCACAAAGATACACAATGTGATACCCATTGTGATATACAGTGGTACTCAAATGGTATCACAATATATCACAATGAGTATCACAGTATACCACAATGGGTATCACATCGTGTATCTTTGTGATTACTTGGTACCCGTCGGATTTTTTGTTCACCGGAGGCCGGAGATTGGAGGTCGGAGAGATGAGAAAGAAGAGTTTTTTTTAAAATACCTAAAATGTCCTCTAATTATAATTTTAACTCAAACTACCATAATTATTAATTTCCTAATTTATCCGTTGATTTGTGGTTGAGATTGGATCTCACAGTTACCACAAACTAATCAGTTCTCTCTTCAATGAGCCCCTATATATATATATATATATATATATATATATATATATATAGTAAGGATATCTATCAACTTTTGGATAAGTTGACTTTTTAATTAATTTTATTTTTCAACTATTTTTGAGTATCTTCAATTATATTCATTTACTTTTAATTACATTCATTTACCTTTATCTTCAAAATTATCTTTCACTTTAAAGTTATTTTCACAAACTTTTTTTATATTCATTTAATCTTTCACATACATGTATTTATAAAAATTCCAACCATAATAATAATAATAATTGGTAGATAGAAATAGTTAAACATGTAGAAAAAGTATATAAATATTTTTTTATATTTTCATGATAAATTTTATCCTCAATATATATATATATATATATATAGATATGTATAATATTAAAGTCGATGCATGTAAATATAGTACTTGGGAGTTTCTGATAAAGTTGTGTGCTTTCCAAAGCATGGAACCATATTCATCCACCATATTGGTTGCTGATATTGCTTGAACAGCAAAAACTGCATCCCACAATTGTGATCCATTGTATCCCTGAGATCGATCTCCAAGATATACCCATTAATTAGCATAGAGAAAGGATTTAAACGAGAACACATTTATTTTACAAAAATGCGAGACAATCATATATGATACTATTATTCCATCGCATATGATATACATGTGATACTAAATCAGAGACGCGGACGATTTTCAATTTGATCTTGGTTGCTGGCCAAGTCACCCTTACACCACTAAGCCCTCTCACAAGTATTATCACATGTGATATGATTGTTGTTGATATGATACTATAATCCATCAAGACCATCACATGTGATGCTATATCATAGACACAGTCGCGGCCTAAGTCGTAGAACACGTCGTCCGCACATCACAAGGTCTCCTCACACGTTTTATCACATATGATAAGGGTGTTATTGCTTTCTCCTAAAATGAAGGTGTTCCCATTTGAACCTCCACCAATTAGTATATATATAGGGTTGGGTTCACGTGAGACCAGCTTGTTTTCGTGAGACCCGTGAGACCACATTTTTATACGTAACATTCACAGCAAAAACACTGTGAAGGTTTAAAAAAAGTCGAACCTTCACAGCAAAAACACTGTGAAGGTTTTAAAAAGTCACCTTCACAGCATTTTGCTGTGAAGTTTCAAGTGTAAAATGTTGGTCTCACGGGTCTCACGAAAACAGGCTGGTCTCACATGATCCAAATTCTATATATATATATATATATATATATATATATAATTATGTTATATAGGTTAGAAAATCATGCTCAACACAATAATATAGGTTTATTGGACGTCTAAAGGGTTTAAATATCCTAATAGAATATCTTATATGACTTAAATTTATAGGACTAAAGAATAAATTATCATATTTAAAAGTAGTACAATAAGTTTTATAAAATGATTTTTTTGACGACGTAACAAGTTTTTTAAGAATTTTATAAAATAAAGTATCATAATTACGATTTTATAGGACCCTTTTGAGAGTCCTATCATTTTATAGGATATTATTTTAATTAGCGTTTTATAAAAGAGTTTGTACAATACTATTTTAAAAGGACCTAAAAAGCTTATATAGACTTATTGTAACACTTTTAGATAGAACGTTTTATTTTTTGATATTATAAATTAAAGTAGTATAAGGCATTCTATTAAGATATTTAAACACTTTAGACTTAATTATATTATAGTGGATGATGAAGAAGAAACTAAAACTAATTAACCTGCATCTTCATGCCATCTTCAGCTATCCAAAGATAGTCTTTTATCCTAGAGAGGTGTAGTTTATTTGCAGGTGAGTTTGGATCCTCCACCCAACAGCATAGCATGTTCAGCACCTGTTAGTGTTCAAAATTAAAACCATATATAATATGGATCAAGAATGAGCAGAACTAGAATTAAAAAGAACAAGTTGCAAAAACACCAAATTTACTTGCATCCATGACAAATATTTCAATTTTCAAATGATTTCCACCCACTATATACAAACAGGTTACCAAAATTCGGATGCATATTTGCCCTTTCTTCATTGCTTCACTCAAATAATTCGACATTCACTTAATTACCAATTAATCTACGACCCTTGGTTACATAAATGAAAGTTTTGTAGAGTCAACCCAAAATGTGGTTAAGAAAAGAAAGCGTGTGTGCATACATAGGGTGAGGTAAAAAGTGAAAATCTAAGAAGCACGCTAATAACCATTTTGTACCGTATGCACATGTGCATATAATAATTTGTCCCATATGCGCGTTGCATGCAGATTTGTATAGAAAACAAGAAACATCTTCAATTATACTAATGAATGTTTATTAGGATGTTCCTTAGTTTCTAAATGTTTTGGAACATTTTCCCTGAACCTTATATATATATATATATATATATATAGAGAGAGAGAGAGAGAGAGAGAGAGAGAGAGAGGAGCGATCAAATGCAAACCACCCAATTTGTACAAACCGTCCTCATCCGTCGATTTCATTGTTTAATCTTATAAAAAAAATATGAAGTTGCTTGATATTGTGAAATTGTTTCATATAATACTTTTTTTGATGAAGTTTTTTCATATATGGTTATGAAATGGTTTCATATAATATTTAATGAAATTGTTTCATGTATTTCTCTAAAATTAAAATAATGAAGATGATAATATCCATAATTAACACCCTCCACAATAAAATCAACTTCTCATAATTACAAAAAAATAAACAAAATAAAAAACTATGATTGGTTGAATGAGGTTTACACGGTTTGTACAAATTAGGTGGTTTGCATTTTATCGCTCCTCATATATATATATATATATATATATATAGGGTATATTTCTTTTACAACCTTGTATATTTGTACAACCCTTGCAACCCAATTAATTGAGATCTATATAGAAATGATGGGAGTTCATTTATTATGATTTGAATATTTATGGAATATGAAGAGAGTTCATTAATTATGATTAATACTTTATATTAGGAAACAATCAAAACTTTTATGAAATCACATATTCATCAAATGAAATGGACGGTTGAGATTGGATTGTATTGGTTGCACAAATGTCAAGGGTTGTATAATAACCAACCTCTATATATATATAGAGAGAGAGGGGGAGAGAGAAAGAGAGGAAGAGAGAGGTTCTAGGGAGAACCTTAAAAAATGAAAAACTGGGGACAATCTGGTAACCATTCATCTGAATGGTATGCACATGTGTATACAAGTAATGAAATTGTTTCTTGGTTTTTATGCATGTGTGCATGATATACACATGTGCATGTCGAATAAATTCCTTAGAAATTACTTCTATGCACATGTGCGTACCGTGCATATGAATGATTACCGGTGTGCTTTTTAGTTTTTCATTTTTTGCAGTTTTCACCTAAACCTAAACACACACACATGTATATATATATATATATATATATATATATATATTTAGATACACACACATAGGAAATTCCGTTAAAAACCCAAAACTAATTAGGAACCCACGAATTGGCCATAATACGCCATGTGTCTCTACTCAGAAATAACTCATTTATGATGAATAGGGAAATGTTATTCACCATGAATCATACATCAATGATTAATAACATGTCCATGTATATATATATATATATATATATATATATAAACAGGTTTTATTAGGAACCTAAAATTGATTAAGAATCCGGTAATCATTTATAGTGCGACACTTGAGATAATAAGCAGGAATATACATATACATATACATATTCCTAATAAAACCTGTTACTAACCATGTATGTGTACCTTGTTAACGGGTCCAATACAAATATAGTGAGAGTTTTGGTCCTCATAATGGATATGTTGCATCACAATGTTCAATGCTTTCTTTCTGAGCTTTGAGAATGGCCATTGCATCAGAAGCGGTTCAGCAAAATTATTCAAACCATTCCATAGAAAGTCTTGTATTCTGGGATGAGGGTAATACAAATCTTCCTGCAACCAACAAAACCCATCCATAACTAGTAAATTAAGCCCCATCAATATTTCATGTGAACAACATCAATAAATCAAAACCTACAATAACGTGGTTTCTATATAACGTTAAAAAATTTCTTATAATAGATTGTTTCATAAGATTTAATTTTAATATGAGAAAATATAAGTGTGTTAGTACATTTTTTTAAATAAAATGTGTTTCTGTTAGTTGTTTTATAGGACACCTTTGAGAAGCATTTTTATAAATACATCTTTTCATAGAATACTTGTTTTTATAATACACTTTTCAATCCTCATACGGACGTTTGTATCGATCTTGCACTACAAAAACAAACGGGTTTCACCGATCGATTTTTCCACCCGAAATTTCAAACTTATCACCAGCATTTTTTGTAGGTGATGGCAAATCTGCTTGTAATAATGATCATCGGCCACATTTTCTTTAGTCGTGAAATCCACCAGTGATCGTCGATGATGATTTTTCCCGGTAGTTTACTGACAGATTTTTTTTCGTTGTCGAAGTCCTCTTTGTTTGGTAGTACCAGACCCTTTGCAGACCCTTTGCCGACCCCTTGCCTTCCTCTTAATGTATTGGAAATTATATGTAAGGATGGAAGTTTTCCTTCATCCCACATTGGTAGATAAAGAAACTCTAGAGAAGCTTATAACGTTTTCTTTAGAATTGGGATTAGAACATATGAGGAGACTCATGGTGGGGGTCTTGAGTGGAAGGCCCAATGCACACGCACACGCACACGCGTGGCCGAAGAGAGGGCGCAGGATTCACAAAAGTGCAACGAGGAGGCGACTTTGCACATCGCACGCCGCATCGGAGCAGAAGCCCCAAGCTTCGAGTATCTTTTTAGTACAAAGTTGAGAGAGAAGGAAAATAACTGAATTTAAAATCATTTTTAAAACCGATTCAGCCACATTTTTAGAGATAATAATCGTCGGAGGATAATCCTCCAACTTCTCCATGATCGTGTGAGATATGGGGAGAATATCATGGTCTCACCCAGTATAAATATTGGGTTGAAGCCAAACCAAAAGAATCACTCTCAAAAGATTCAGTTTTTCTCCTCATAGACTGTTGCTCCCGTTTACTCTTTTCCTCAAACCGATTTTTTGCTTACACCTTGCTTTGATTTCGATATCAAAGCTGTTGATATTCGAGATCCGGTTCTGCATCAATCTTAGGGCTTTGCGACTTGGAGACCGACAATTTATACGGTGGTAATTGTTGGAAATTATATGTAAGGTTGGATGTTTTCTTCCATCCCATATTCGTAGATAAAGAAACTCTAGAGAAGCTTATAATGATTTCTCTAGAATTGGGCTTTGAACACATGAGTAGACTAATGGTGGGGGTCTTGAGTGGAAGGCCCAACGCACACACGTGCACATGGCCGTGGCCGAGGGCGAGGGCGCAGGATTGCGAAAGTGGCGCTAGGAGGCGCACTAGCACTTCGCACGACGCATTAGAGCAGAAGCCCCGAGTACATTTTTGATACAAAGTCGATAGAAAAGAAAAATAACTGAATTTAAAATATGTTTTAAAACCAATTCAGCCACGTTTATAGAAGTACCGATCGTTGGAGGATAATCCTTCAACTTCTCCATGATTGTGCGAGATATGAGGAGAATATCGTGGCCTCACCTAGTATAAATATTGGGTTGAAGCCAAACCAAAAGAATCACTCTCAAAAGATTTAGTTTTTATCCTCATCGACTGTTGCTCCCGTTTACTCTTTTCCTCTACCGATTTTTTGCATACACCTTGCTTTGATTTCGATATCAAAGCTGTTGATATTCGAGATCCAGTTGCATCAATCCTAGGGCTTTGCGACTAAGAGACTGATAGCTTATACGGTGGTGATTGTTGGAAAATATATATAAGGTTGAAGATTTTCCTCTATCAAACATTGGTAGATAAAGAAACTCTAAAGCTTATATGGCTTTCTCTAGAATTGGGCTTTGAACATATGAGTAGATTCATGGTGGGGATCTTGAGTGGAAGGCCCAACGCACACGCACGTGCGTGGTTGTGGCCGAGGCCGAAGGCGCGGGATTCACGAAAGTGGCCCAAGGAGGGGCACTTTGCACTTCGCACGCCGTATCGGAGCAGAAGCCCCGAGCCCCAAGTATCTTTTTGGTACAAAGTTGAGAGAGATGGAAAATAATTGAATTTAAAATCGTTTTTAAAACCGATTCAGCCACGTTTTTTGTGATAACTGTCATTGGAGGATTATCCTCCAACTTCTCTGTGATCATGCGTGATATGGAGATAATATTGTGGTCTCACCCAATAAATACTGGATTGAAGCCAAACCTAAAGAATCACTCTCAAAATATTCAGTTTTTCTCCTCATCGACTGCTGCTCCCATTTAATCTTTTCTTTTATCGATTTTATGCGTACACCTTGCTTTGATTTCGATATCAAAGCTGTTGATATTCGAGATCCAGTTCTACATCAATCCTGGGGCTTTGCGACTTGGAGACAACATATACGGTGGTGATTGTTGGAAATTATATTTAAGGTTGGAGGTTTTCCTCCATCCCACATTGGTAGATAAAGCTAGAAAAGCTTATAAGGCTTTCTCTAGACTTGGGCTTTGAACATATGATTAGACTAATGATGGGGGTCTTGAGTGGAAGGCCCAATGCACAAGTGCGCACGTGGCCGTAGGTGAGGGCGAGGGTCAGGGCGCGAATTGGGCTTTGAACATATGAGTAGACTCATGGTGGGGGTCTTGAGTGGAAGGCTCAACGCACATGCGCGTGCGTGGTCGTGGTAGAGGCTGAGCCGAGGCCGAGGGCACGAGGTTCGCTAAAGTGGCGCGAGAAGGTGCACTTGCACTTCGCACTCCGCATCAAAACAGAAGCCCCGAGCTCCAAGTATCATTTTTGTACAAAGTCGAGAGGGAAGGAAAATAACTGAATTTAAAATCGCTTTTAAAACCGATTCAGCCACGTTTTTAGAGATAACGATTGTTGGAGGATAATCCTCTAACTTCTCCATGATCGTGCGAGATATGAGGATAATATCGTTGTCTCACCCAATATAAATACTGTGTTGAAGACAAACCTAAAGAATCACTGTCAAAAGATTTAGTTTTTTCTCCTCATGGACTGCTGCTCTCGTTTACTCTTTTCCTCTAACGATTTTCTGCATACACCTTGCTTTGATTTTGATATCAATGTTGTTGATATTCGAGATCCTATTCTGCATCAAACCTGGGGCTTTATGACTAGAAGACCGACAGCTTATACGATGGTGATTGTTGGAAATTATAGGTAAGGTTGGATGTTTTCCTCCATCCCACATTGGTATATAAAGAAACTCTAAAGAAGCTTATAAGGCTTTCTCTAAACTTGGGCTCTGAACATATGAGTAGACTCATGCTAGGGGTCTTCAGTGGAAAGCCCAACGCACACGCGCACGCGTTGTTGTGTCTGAGGACGAGGCCGAGGGCGCGGGATTCGCGAAAGTGTCGCGAAGAGGCACACTTTGCACTTTGCATGCCGCATCAGAGCAGAAGCCCCGTGCTACGAGTATCTTTTTGGTACAAACTCGAGGGAGAAGAAAAATAACTGAATTTAAACCGCTTTTAAAACCGATTCGCCACGTTTTTAGAGATAACGATCGTTAGAGAAAAATCCTCCAACTTCTGCATGATCATGCGAGATATGGTGGTCTCAACTAGTATAAATACTAGGTTGAAGCCAAACCTTAAGAATCACTCTCAAAAGATTTAGTTTTTCTCTTCATCGATTGTTGCTACCGTTTACCCTTTTCCTCTTCTGATTTTCTTCATACACCTTGCTTTGATTTCAATATCAAAGTTGTTGATATTCGAGATCCGGTTCTGTATCAATCCTGGCGCTTTGCAACTTAAAGACTGACCGCTTATACGGTGGTTATTACTGGAAATTATATGTAAAGTTGGAGGTTTTCCTCCATTCCACATTGGTAGATAAAGAAACTCTATAGAAGCTTATAAGGCTTTCTCTAGAATTTGGCTTTGAACATATGAGTAGACTCATGGTGGGGGTCTTGAGTGGAAAACACAACGCACATGCGCATGCATTGCTGTGCACGAGGCCGAGGCCGAGGCGCGAGATTCGTGAAAGTGGCACGAGGAGTCACACTTTGCACTTTGCACGCCACATCAGAGCAAAAGCCCAGAGCTCCAAGTATCTTTTTGGTACAAATTCGAGGGAGAAGGAAAATAACTAAATTTAAACCAGTTTTAAAACCAATTCAGCCACGTTTTTAAAGATAACGATTGTTGGAAGATAATCCTCCAACTTCTCCATTATCGTGCTAGATATAGGGAGATATTGTGGTCTCACCCAGTATAAATACTGGGTTGAAGCCAAACCTAAAGAATCACTCTCAAAAGATTAAGTTTTTCTCCTCATCGATTGTTGCTCCCGGTTACTCTTTTCCTCAAACCGATATTCTGCATACACCATGCTTGGATTTCAATAACAAAGTTGTTGATATTCGAGATCCAGTTCTGCATCAATCCTAGGGCTATGCAACTTGGAGACTGACAGCTTATACGGTGGTGATTGTTGGAAATTATATGTAAGGTTGGAGGTTTTCCTCCATCCTACATTGGTAGATAAAGAAACTCTAGAGAAGCTTGTAAGGCTTACTCTAGAATTGGGCTTTGAACATATGAGTAGACTCATGATGGGGGTCTTGAGTGGAAGCCCAACGCATACGCACACGCATGGCTGTGGTCGAGGACGAGGGTGCGGGCTTCACGAAAGTGGCGCGAGGAGGCTCACTTTGCACTTCACATGCCGCATCGGAGAAGAAGCCCCGAGCTCCGAGTATCTTTTTGGTACAAAGTTGAGAGAGAAGGAAAATAACTGAATTTAAAAACTGTTTAAAAACATATTCAACCACGTTTTTAGAGATAACGATCATTGGAGAATAATCCTCCAACTTCTGCATGATCGTGCGAGATATGGGGAAAATATCATGGTCTTACCCGGTATAAATACTAGGTTGAAGTCAAACCTAAAGAATCACTCTCAAAAGATTCAGTTTTTCTCCTCATCGACTGTTACTCCCATTTAATCTTTTCCTCTACCGATTTTCTGTATACACCTTGCTTTGATTTCGATATCAAAGCTGATGATATTTGAGATCTGGTTCTGCATCAATCCTGGGGCTTTATGACTAGGAGACCGACATCTTATACGGTGGTGATTGTTCGAAATTATATGTAAGGTTGGAGTATTTTCTCCATCCCACATTGGTAGATAAAGAAACTCTAGAGAAGCTTATAAGGCTTTCTCTATAATTTGGCTTTGAACATATGAGTAGACTCATGGTGGGGGTGTTGAGTGGAAAACCTAACGCACACGCGCACGAGTTACTGTGGCTGAGGCCGAGGGTGCGGATTCCCGAAAGTGGCACGAGGAGGCACACTTTGGACTTCACACGCCGCATCGGAGTAGAAGCACCGAGTATCTTTTTGGTATAAATTTGAGGGAGAAATAAAATAACTGAATTTAAACCGGTTTTAAAACTGATTCAGCCACGTTTTTAGAGATAACGGTCGTTGGAGGATAATCCTCCAACTTCTCCATGATCGTGAGAGATATGGGGAGAATATCGTGGTCTCACCCAGTATAAATACTGGGTTGAAGCCAAACCTAAAGAATAACTCTCAAAAGATTCTCTTTTTCTGTTCATCGGCTACTGCTCCCATTTACTCTTTTCTTCTTTTCTACATGCACCTTGCTTTGATTTCGATATCAAAGCTACTGATATTCGAGATCCAGTTTTGCATCAATCATTGGGCTTTGCAACATGGAGACGGACAACTTATAAGGTGGTGATTGTTGGAAATTATACGTAAGGTTGGAGATTTTCCTCCATCCGACATTGGTAGATAAAGAAACTCTAGAGAAGCTTATAAGGCTTTCTCTAGAATTGGGCATTGAAAATATGAGTAGACTCATGGAAGGGTCCTGAGTGGAAGGCCCAACGCTCAAGCACACGTGGTCGTGGTCGAGGCCGAGGGCGCGGATTTCGCGAAAGTGGCGCGATGAGGCACACTTTGCACTTCGCACGCAACATTGGATCCTGAGCTCCGAGTATCTGTTTGGTACAAATTCGAGAGAGAAGGAAAATAATTGAATTTAAAAATCGATTTTAAAACCGATTCAACCACGTTTTTAGAGGTAACGATCATTGGAGGATAATCCTCCAACTTCTCCTTGATCGTGCTAGATATGGGGAGAATATCGTGGTCTCACCCAGTATAAATACTGGGTTGAATCCAAACCTAAAGAATAACTCTCAAAAGATTTAGTTTTTTCCACATCGACTGCTTGTCCCGTTTTCTCTTTTCCTCTACCGATTTTCTGCATACACCTTGCTTTGATTTCGATATTAGAGCTGTTGATATTCGAGGTCCGTTCAGCATTAATCCTGAGGATTTGCGACTTGGAGACCGACAGCTTATACGGTGGTGATTGTTGTAAATTATATGTAAGGTTGGAGGTTTTCCTTCATACCACATTGGTAGATAAAGAAACTCTAGAAAAGCTTATAAGTCTTTCTTTCAAATTGGGCTTTGAACATATGAGTAGACTCATGGTAGGGTCTTGAGTGGAAGATCCAACGCTCAAGCGGGAGCGTGGCCGTGGTAGAGGCCGATTCAACCACGTTTTCAGAGATAACGATCATTGGAGGATAATCCTCCAACTTCTCCATTTTTGTGTGAGATATGGGGAGATATCGTGGTTTCACCCAGTATAAATACTGGGTTGAAACAAAACCTAAAGAATCACTCTCAAAAGATTTAGTTTTTCTCCTCATCGACTTCTTCTCCCGTTTACTCTTTTAATCTACCGATTTTTTTCATACACCTTGCTCTGATTTCGATATCACAGATGTTGATATTCGAGATCCTGTTCTGCAAAAATCCTGGGGCTTTGCGACTTGGAGACCGACAGCTTATACGGTGGCGATTGTTGGAAATTATATGTAAGATTGGAGGTTTTCCTCCATCACACATTGGTAGATATAGAAACTCTAGAGAAGCTTATAAGGTTTATCCTAGAATTAGGATTTGTACATATGAGTAGACTAATGGTGGGGGTCTTGAGTGGAAGCCCCAACGCACACGCGCGCGCAAGACCGTGTCCAAGGGCGAGGGCCCGGGATTCACAAAAGTGCTGAGAGGAGGCGCACTTTGCACTTCGCATGCCGCATCGGAGCCTCGAGCTTCGAGTATCTTTTTGGTACAAAGTCGAGAGTGAAGGAAAATAACTTAATTTAAAATCGGTTTAAAAACCAATTCAGCCACGTTTTTAGAGATAACGGTCGTTGTAGGATAAACCTTCTACTTCTCCATGATCGTGCGAGATATGGGGAGAATATCGTCGTCTCACCCAGTATAAATACTAGGTTGAAGCCAAACCTAAGAAATCACTCTCAAAAGATTCAGTTTTTTTGATCATCGACTGCTGTTCCCGTTTACTCTTTTCCAGTTCTGCATCAGGACTGGGGCTTTGCGACTTGGATTCCGACATCTTATACGGTGGTGATTGTTGGAAATTATATATAAGGTTGGAGGTTTTCCTCCATCCCACATTGGTAGATAAAGAAACTCTAGAGAAACTTATAAGGCTTTCTATAGAATTGGGCTTTGAACATATGAGTAGGCTCATGGTGGGGGTCTTGAGTGGAAGGCCTAAAACACACACGCGCACGCAAGGCCTTGGCCTCGGCCGAGGGCGAGGGAGCGGGATTAATGAAGGTGGCGCGAGGAGGTGCACTTTGCACTTCACATGCCGCATTGGAGCAGAATCCCCGAGCTCCGAATATCTTTTTGGTACAAAGTCGAGAGAGAAAGAAAATAACTGAATTTAAAATCGGTTTTAAAACTGATTCAGCCACGTTTTTAGATATAACGATCGTTGGACGATAATTCTCCAATTTCTACATGATCGTGTGAGATATAGGGAGAATATCATGGTCTCACCTTGCATAAATACTGGGTTGAAGTCAACCCTAAAGAATCACTCTCAAAAGATTCAGGTTTTCTCCTCATCGACTGCTGCTCCCGTTTACTCTATTTCTCTACCGATTTTCTGCATACAACTTTCTTTTATTTCGATATCAAAGTTGTTGATATTCGAGATCTGGTTCTGCATCGATCCTGGTACTTTGCGACTTGTATACCGACAGCTTATACGGTGGTCGTATAAAACTTTTAAGGACGGGTTTTGTACCGTGCATATCTCTACCTTTACGTGCTTCAAGATAACTAGGTTGGCATTTCACTTTTTCGGCATTGTATTTAATTTTTGTTCACTTTGTGAACACTCTGCTTCTACCCCTTTCTACCATTGAGTCTATCGCGATGGATAGATTCAAACCCGTTGTGGGAATATTGGGTTGGTTATGACTCCGGTCTTTTGTTTTCTATCTCGAACTATAAAGTTCCTTTTATAGATCTTGGTTTTGTTCCTCGTTAATAAAGTTCTAAAATTTATTTATAAAGATTTAATATTATTGTTTTGTAATCCTCTAAAATAAATTTTCATCATAATTTTATATAAAATGACTATTACATATGTTTTATTTCAAACTCGTCATAAAAGACCTGTTAGGAAGGTCAAAATCATCCTATCAATTTATTGTAACTCATTTATAGAGGACGCATAATTGTTTGTAACCTATAAACTTGAACATAGGCCATTTAAACATAATAGGATATCCCATAAAACTGATTTTGTTGCAATGAAATCAAACTATCTAGATTACCTTGGCACATTGATTTCTAGCCAAGTCCCAGTTAACTTGGAGATAAACAGTCTTGTACAACTCTCTTCTTAGTGACAAAACAACCGAACTGATTGGACTGACAAATCGTTTTCCATATAAATACGACATTGGAAGGTATACCATCCTTGTGTGGCACCACATTCTTCCTGCATTATCGAATTCAAGAAGAACCCCACATAATCTCTCATGATTCATAGCATATGTAGAAAATGATTGAACGAAACGTTTTTCAGAAAAAAAACAAACCTGGGTGTAAAGGAAGACAATATGGGAGAAGCCAAATTTCTGGTGGCAAAGGGTTGTTTCCCCTCCACTCATACACTCCTAGTACCTAACATGCAATAGTTTACGTAAGTCCTAATAGTATGCATGCAATATATGGCTCAATGACAATGAGTCCCCAACCTATATGGGTCAAAGTCGAGATAACAAAATGGATCTTTTAGGATGTCCAACCATCATTGAGTCTAAATAGAGCATTTTACTTTGAGGGCCGGTTTAACTAGTAATAAGAGCTAATCGTCGAGGCTCCTCTTCGTAGGTCGATAGTTCTCGAGTCTCCTTAAGACTAAGTGGTATTTTTATAATTGGTATCTTAAGTAGGGGTGCGTATGATTTGGGTTGCTTAACATGTAAATTAAAGCTAGGCCTGCGAGCCCCATAAGATTACTCGAGGTGGACACTAATTAGCACTAGCACTGACCATTAATAAAAGATAGAGTATTTAACAAGACTTTGAAGTTTTATAGGACCAGTAACTATACTTCTATATAGTAATGTTACAATAAGTCGTTAGGATGAAGTTAGATGATCTAACAAATTCTTGTTAGAACCAATTGATATGATAACACAAATTCAACAAAAGTCTATGAAACAAACTTAATAAAATTGAGTAAAACAAGAATTTTTGATATAGTGTCCTAAGACGAAATTTCATCCCCACGTGCTTTGGTTCTGGACATCACTTAGAGGTTGTGATTGAATTGTTGCACGTCAATTCAATCCCATCAAATTGATAATGTGTTCAAATTGGAGGGAAAATAGTTGTCCAACTTGGAGGGAATGATAAGGTATATATACCTTTGCACTACTAACCGAAGTTAATTGTCAGAAACTGCCCGGAGACCAAAGCTCGCTTTCTTCTCTGTTTTGGTTTGAGGCAAAATGCCTTTAAGATCAATAGATCCCAAAGGCCCAAGGCCCAATCATTTGACCGTTATATATTTAGCAAGTCCCTCACTAAAGCCCAATACTCATCAATTATTTGGGCTCTTCTCCATTTTATTAACTAGTGTGGGCTTAAACTTATAAACCAACAAAAGTTCTACAAAATTTGTGGGACTAGATACTAGTCAAATACCCAACAATTCTATCAATAAATTTGGACAATCTAACTAGATACCATAAAGATATTGCCTTATTAATAGTCTTTTTATATGGTATGTTTGAAAAGTGTATGATAACTTCCATTTTGAGTGTAATTTACACAGTGTTAATTTGTGTATGTTTTCCCTTTTGGTGTGTGTTTTTATTTTATGTGTTTGTGTTTTTTTTTTAATTTATTTATTTTCATTTGGAGTTGATGAGGATAAACATTTGAGTTTTGAAGGTTGTAGACATTATTTTTGGATTAAATGTTGGACTTGAGTATACCAACAATGTTGGACTGATCTCCTAGATGACATTTACACACATACTAGCCCATTATTAATTACTTGTTTATATTTCATTGAAAAGAACCAAACTCGCTTAAAGATATTTTCTTTTCTCTAATTAAAATGGTTGTATTACGTGAAAACAATTATTTAATGATCGGTGTGCATTTTCACCACCATTGTGGTGACACTGTGGTCACTTTGTGGACATAGGCATTTTCCACCGATCAAGTTGTTGCATTATTGTCGGGAATTGATGTATTTTCAGAGTTTCTTGAAGGTTGAGTTTTCATTTGTTTTTCTTTCACCATAATGGAAGGTTTCAATTGGGATGACCAATATTATAATAATTTTCATGGAAACATCCTGTTTTTGTCAAATGTTCAAGATGATGATACCTACCATTTATTTGCACCTCCCTATCAAGATTGGGATGACATATATAAATACATTGATCATTCATTCATGGGAGGGGACAGGGGAATGTTTATTCTTGTGATTTTCAAGGGAGTAATCCTCACCATTGATTTACGTCCTTTGTCCTCAACTACACACCCGATTTATTTTTCAACGACCCAAACCATCACAATTTTCTGAAACATTTTCCCTACTTCATGAAAAGTTTTACAACATTTTTGAAAAAAAAAATCACATCTTCTTTTGAAGCCTTGAACACTAAGAAATCGATTAGTTGAAAAATCAACGTGAAGGCGCCTTTACAAGTGATAATGACAAATTAATATGTGTTTCTAATGATGTTGAGAGATTTTTTAGGAAAAATCTGAATACATGAGCAAGTCTTTTTTACTCAGATGTGTTTCAAGATGCTAAAATTTCTAATTATATGATTTATGTTCATGTTGTACAATCTTCTTTCTATGACCATATATAGTGCTTTCATAATTGTTATGCATCAGACTATGGGGAGGGGGAAATTTGATAAGATCTAGTTAATGAAGTAGTTGGAAGAGCCCTAGTTGAGGTGGAGGTGGCTATTATCTTGAAGCCACTCGTCTTTTTGAATAATCATCAACTCAAAAGTTGATTTCAAAAACTAAGCAACCAATTCCCCATGTTTTCAAAAACTAAGCAACCAATTCCCCATGTCCATATTGATTAAACTTTGAAACTCTACAATTGGCATAATGCATTTTTGTACTCTTCTTATTACTTAACGCAAACCTTTCACTTTTGATACTCTTTCCATAATAAGGACATTGTGTATTTTAGTTCAAGGGGATAAAACACTTGCGCTGGGAAAAAAAATCCAAGTCCTTTGAAAAACTGGAAGGACCAAAAAGAATACATTGTGTAGGTACTGTGTGCTCACTTTTTGACTATATAGAAAAAAAAGATATGAATTGGGTCGAGATCATATAAATAGTTGAGTTTGTCATGTTGCAAGTGAAAAGTTAAACAAATCACATCAAATACATAACAAAATTTTTATTTTGTGATTCAAAGACAAGTTTAGAGGCGACGAGAAACGTAAGGAGAGAGAGAAACCACAAACACTAACCCTTGAAAGCCTGGAACTGAGTTCGCGTAACCAGTTATCATAAGGTGAGTGAATTATAGCTTAACATATAGAAATAAAATTGAAGTAAAAAGAAAAGAGTGGAAAGATTAAGAACGCTATGAACATTTTTAGTCAAAGGGATTTAGGATGCAAAATAAAAAACTAAAGATCAGAGGGTGAAACTTAGTAATTTTGTGTGCTTGTATATTCATTTGTTTTTATCTATGTTCATGTAGTTACTTGGAGACAAGTAACAACTCAAGTTTGGGGGAATAATAACACTCTTAATTACACATCGTTTGTGTATGTTTCCTTTTTATGTCTTCATATTTTTTTTCCTTTTTTATTTATTTATTCTCATTTGGAGTTGTTGAAGATAAAACTTTATGTTCTGATTGTTGTAGGCATCATTTTTGAATTAAATGTTGGACTGTGGATTGTGCCTACAATGTCATCATGAGTGCCGACTTTCGGCCAACTCTTGAGAATGTCTCTTTTGCTATTTTTGAGTACATTAAGACTTATATGAGTGATAATAAGGCTTAAATTTATGAAAGGGTAGAGAAAGACCATCGTATTCTTCACTTAGTACTCAGAACTCTGAAGTTCGATCACTTTGGATATGATCTCGGTACTTTTACTACTCTATTACTTAAAAACGATCATAATGACCGGTGTGCACACTTGCACTGTCGTTGTGTTCACTTTGTGGGCATATACATTTTCTCGCTATCCATGTCCTTAAAAAAGAATAATATGACACTTAAAAAATGTCATATAAATAGACTAATATAACGAATTATTTTTTGTGTACTGTTAGATTATCCAGTTTCATCTATTGAATTTGTGAATCTTATCCTAACAATTTATTGGAATGTCGTTGTATATGAATCATGGTTTTTTGTCTAATAAATTTAACATACTCTATTAGGTTGTCTTATTATAATTAAAAATACGTCAAAAAAGCCCATTGTACTTTAGTTAAAATATGAACATTAACTTGTGTTGTTGAGTATTTTTTGTGATAACCGGGTCTTGGTTATCACCTAAGGTAACTAATATGTGATTATTTATCATATGCATACATGACAACATGATAAATTGATATATTTGATCATATGAGTATGTGAATTCTATGCAAAAATATGAATATGCATGACTAAAATGTGTTAGTATGCATGATTTTAATATGCATAAATATGCATGCATGTATAGTTATTATGGAAGGCATACATAAAGTAAAAGTATGTATACCTCAGTTGGTATGCATGCATGGGATTGTGTTGTGGTTCATGGGCATGCATGCGGCTGTTTGAGCCGCCTTACCTGTTTTAGAATGGTATAAATATGGGGGTGAAGCTTTCAAGTAAAATTTTTAGTCACTTGAAAGAAAATTGAGAAGTCTTGATCGGATTGCTTATTAAATTGAAGTTGGATTCAAATTAGTTTCAAAAAGAATTGCATAAGGTGAGTAATATCATTCATCTTATTTTATCTTGACAAGTGATTCTTTAATTTGAATACGGATTTGTGTTATAAACCTATCACCCAGACAACTTAAATTGGACAAGTGTTTGTACGAATTTCGTATAAATCGGACATAGTATCATCCGATTTAGAGGAAATCGATCATAGTATTGATCGAATTAATATGTTGATGAAATTTCTATCTTTGAAAATCGGATAAGTATTTTAAACGGAGAAGTAGGAATACGATCAAAGATTGATCGGATTAATATAAACTGATTGGTGTATTGTTCGGTTTAAGTTATAAACTAATCATGGTTTTAAGCGGATTAAAGTAATCCGATTTAGGATTGAATTTAAAATGTGTTAGAAAAGTGGTATATATTAATCGGACAAGGGAATGTGTTGTCCGGATTATTAATTCGGACAAAAGTTGAAGTGTTGACCGGATATGAAGTTCGACCAAATCTATGTTGACCGGATTTGTGCTTTGACTAAAGTGTTAGTTCAAATAAATCATTTTTATAATGTTCTTTTATGATAATAAAGAATGAGAATTTTGATAAAGATAATTTTGAACTGATGATACTCCATTAGGACATTTATGATTGCGGTTTGTTCTAATTGGAGATATTTTGTAAATGATTTGATGAAGAAATAAGGGTGACATATCAAGGAGAGGTGTACCATGGGATAAGGGTGGCATATCAAGGAGAGGTGTACCATGGAATAAGGGTGGCATATTAAGGAGATGTGTACCTTTGGATATAAGAGTGGCATTTGTATGTGTGATGTGTGATATAACTCTTACTATTATATTCTTTAAGATTACTGTGATTTAGAATCTTATTTCTTTGTGATTTAAAGATTTAGAATCGAAGTTCTTATTGGAAATCGTAGTCTGGATGTTATTGAGAAGATGAAAACAGGTTTTGGCCTGAAACTTTAAATAAACCTTGTTTGGAATTGAAAAGGTTTAAAAGTGGCATTATGTGAAACCTGGTTAGTTCAAACCTATTTGGGTTTGGGTATGTTATTTAAAAGTTGTGAGATTAGTTTTGAAATTGGAAAAGTATTGGTATTATGTTTTACTTGTTCATATATTTGTTATATATATATATATATATATATATATATACATATATAGACTTGGGATTATGTGAGACCAGCCTGTTTTCGTGAGACCCGTGAGACCAACATTTTACACTTGAAACTTCACAGCAAAATGCTGTGAAGGTGACTTTTTAAAACCTTCACAGTGTTTTTGCTGTGAAGGTTACGTGTAAAAATGTGGTCTCACGGGTCTCACGAAAACAGGCTGGTCTCACGTGAACCCAACCCTATATATATATATATATATATATATATATATGAAAACTTGTTTTAAATAATGTTTTGGTGATTCTCACCCTACAATGACATGGACAGGGATCTCACTAGACAATCTGGTCTAACCCTCATTTTATGGTTTAAAATATGTATTGCAGGAGGTGCTGACGGTAAGGGGAAAGGAAAAATGTAATATTTTCCGTTATGCATGTCTGTATGAAGATTTGCTTATGATGTATATAGTTTTGGTAGAAGGATGTTGATTAGTACAAAGAATGTATTTTGAATTTTTGGACCATGTATTTGTATATGGTAGATTCTTGTACTAAGGGATCTGAATGGTGTATAAACATGTATTTCTTGTAATTGAAGTATGTGTTACATTCAATATGTGGAATGGGGTGTTACATTTTTTATGAAGGAGAGGAGGAGGAAAGAAAAAATCTCATGTTCCTGAGTTGTTTAGGAGGGAAAAGAAAGGAAACGGAAGGAAAATAAGACAGATTTATTTCCAAAACTTTCCTCCCAAAGGAAGTAAAGGAAAGGAAAAAATAACAACACTTATAAATATTTAACAAAATACATCTATCATCCTGATTTTCATCCCATTTGAAAAAAGTGTCGAACTAAGTGGTTCGATGAAGAAAAACCAAATATGAAGTATGGTTATAGTGTCAATCGATAGTGACATATGTTAATATAGCAATTATGGTATTGAGAGCATGATCGTCCCAACTACAGTGCCACATGATAGTGACTTTGGCACGACTGTGCCATGCGATTGTGACAATGGCACGATAGCAGACACAATAACATCGGATGTACCGAGAGTTGGTGCACCTAGGCAATTGTGCCATGTTATTGTGACAATTTCATGATAACAGTCATGATAGTATAATCTAGCATGATCTTGCCATGCCATTGTGATAGTGTCACAATCGCGGGGAACAATAACATTAGATGTACTAAGAGCTGGTGATCTGGGCGATTGTGACACTATTACAATCGTGGGCACGACAACCAACAGGTCCTAAAGTATAAAAAGTTTTTTAGAGCTAAGGTTTGTCAGATCTCTCCACCTTCTTCACTCATTTTCCGATTTGGGCAATTTTGGAGCCTAAGGTCAAATTTCTAGAAGGCTTTTAGAACAAATAGACATTTATCATGAGGATTGAAGATCTATGGTGGATGGTTTCAAAGGTTCTTCAAAAGGTAGTCTTTTTGGGTATTTTGAGATTTATTGCTAGAAACAACTCGAAAGTACTTGACTTCAGTCCCAGTACTGAAAGAGGTGACTTCTAGAGTGGATTTAGGAAGGAAAGACTTCGTTTACTTCTTGCAAATTGCAGTCCTTGTGAGATTGAATCTTAGGTTAACTCTTGGTATCTTTTGGATTGGATGGTGACCTTAAGATGATATATTGGGGAGTTTTGCTTTTGGATTTCAAACCTTCACCGACGGAAGCTAGAGGTTAGGGGTTTAGAAAGTAGGTTTAACATAACCGATAGCAAGGTGCGTTTCAAGTTGCTTTGTGAAACTTTGTAAAGAAATGTGTATTTTGGAGTCTTAAAGTGTTCTCCTAAAGATTTATTAAATATTATGAGTTACTTGATGAAATTGAACCTTTTGCACATTTGATTTTAAGAAATCTTGAGAAATACATATATTTGGGTTTTTGGACGTTTTGAAATAAATCATGGTGTGTGGATTTTGATGATTTATTTCTCGTATGGGATTATTTGATGTTAAGGCACTTCTGGTATTTTGGTTTTATAAATCATTCGAAGAATATATATATATATATATATATATATATATGGTTGAGTTGTTGGGCACATTTTGGGTGTTGTTACTTAGTAAGAAGTGTTTCTTTGAAGTCATGGTGTGTTTTGGGCTTTTGCGCAACCTTTACAATCAATAATAAGATATTTAAAACCTTGTAAGGCATAAGTTGTATAAATATTGATATATGTATTTTATTTGTTTATATTGACTTTTATTGAATAGTCAAATGAGTTATTTGGTTTTGACTCAAAAGAGTTTGAGGGACATTTATGTGGTTTAAGTGTTCAATGTTGAGTTTTGAATGTATTTGCATTTACTGCATATTTATTTAAAAAATTACATATTTTGAGTGCGTTGGTCATTCAATTTGGAGTCATGTAATTTAGACTCTAATACAATGGATCCATATGCATATGAATCAGTGTGAATATGATGAACATTCTTATATTGTAACTTGAAATAGGCATTGCTTCTTTATAGGCAATATGGTGTGGACTCTTTGGTCGGTCATCGACCATTGACTAACACAATGCAATTTCTAATGAATTGAAGATATCAAGATATAGATCATGGGTGGTTAAACTTGATTACTCATTAAGTTATAGATCCTAGGTGGTTGAACTTAATGTCCATTGATCTATAGTGAAGTTGATATATCATAGATATGTGTTTTACTTTTGTGTTCCATTACATACAATAGATACGGGTCTCCCCGATTATCGAAAGGCGTGTTTTGGATATGATATTTTATCCATGTTTTTAGTGTTGGTTTGGAAAAAGAATGTACACATGATTTGATGTTTCGGATGTCGTTTATTATTCATATTTTGTTGCTTTGGATACTTGAGTTTTATACATGTTTCTGGTATTTGATTATCAAGCTTTATTCATGTTTTGCATGAGTATTAGGTTTTTGTCTTATATAAAAATGGGTGTTTGGGTTATTGAGTTTTCATCATGAAAATGGTGGGATTTTGGAAAGATGTTGCCTTTATGGTAAAGTCATTTTCATTTTAAAATTTGTGATTTAAATAAGCAATCTTTCAATTATATTGTTTTATAATTATGATAAAAACTGCTTAAACTCACTACGCTTTAAGTCTAATATTTTTTTTTCTTATCAACGTGTGCATTAGGTCCTTAGTGACACTATGAAGTGTTGATTGCTAGTTAGAGGCACGAGAATAATTTAGCTATTCGGGGACGTACGTCTTCCGTACTTTGGAGATAGTGATCGTTAAGTGACACTCGTCCTTAATCTAGATTTTGTGTAAGGTTCGGATTATTAATTGGTGATGATAAATCTTAAATTGTCAATATAGGTAATCAAGTGTTGACATTTAAAAATGATTTATTCTTTATTTGATGTCTTACCAAAAAATTTAAGTTAAATCTACCCATCAATTACATTCAGCCTAAAAATATACAAGGATATGTTTGTAAATTTGACATATTTCTTTTCCTTTTTTTCCTATGGAATTTTAATTATTTTCCCTTCAATTTCCTTTCTTTTCTTCTACTCTCAACAACACAAATACAAAATTTCTTTCTTTTCTTTTCATTTCCTTTTTCTTCTTAAATTCGAGAATACAACACTACAACGGTTCGCCAACAAAGACTCTAATCTAGTCTTTGTCCTAATATATAAAATGTTGAAGTCGTACATTATACTTTAGACCATTTCGATTCAGTATATATTTTATGAAAGGTTCTTTTTAAAAAATAATCTGATTCGATCCCACAACATAGTATCCAAAACATAATAGTAAGAGAGAAATAAGAAAGAGTAGTAAGTCTTACTGAGAGCCACAATTTGCCCCATGAGGGTACGTGTGTGAGACTTCCATGATGAAGAATCCAAGTTCTGGCTCTGGTCATGGCTCCTTGGCCACCATCCATTGTTTCTCCAAGCAATCTTAGGCTTACATAGTTCAAAGCCGTACAAAACATGGTGCTATGACCTTCTATGTGTAAACCCCATCCTCCGTCAACGTTCTGCACCCAATACTTAATTATTTTTTCTTTTCAGTATCTAATAACAGATCTAGAAATTTTGATGATGGGATCAAAATTCAAATTTAAAAGCATTTAGTTCAAGTTTAATCTCCATTTTTCTCTCTTTCTAAACTTGGTCATTGAGAAACTTAAAATAGATGATATAATTATAATCTCTAAAATCATGCAACTTTTTTCTTTTCTTTTTTGATATCCCATTAAATTCATTAATTCAGAAGGAAAAAAAACCCTAAAAACTTAAATTACCTTTGTACCCTTAATAATTGACTCCAACATTTTAATTAACAATAACTAACAACGGTTTTTATTGGTACAAATAGGTTTGTTTAGTTAATACTTGGAATTAACAAAATATATAATAATATTTTATATGTATAAATTTTTTTATGTTTAAATAACATTTATTTTGTTACTCATACTTAACTTCTTCTTTTTTTAACTTATTTAAGAAAGTGGCAACAATTTTGGTAAACATAATTTTTGGAAGTAAATAAACAAATTTTATTCAACGAACCTTATTAAGACAAAACGTTTATTTGGTTTATCTGATTCCCCAACCAAATAAACCAAAACTGTTTTAGACATAACATTTTTCTATTAATTATCGGACGATTCAGAAAAAAGGTTAAAAACCGAATAACACTTGTATACATGAATAGTCGAAATTAGGGGTTTTTAGAAGAGTTTTCAGTAGTTATTTTCTTAAACATCATCAAAAAATAGCAAATAATTTTTTAAACGGACTCTGCACACTTCCACAAATATATAAAAGGTGTTTTTCGGCTAGTTTAGGGGAAAAAAACTCTTCTAAAATAAGTGTACTACATTTTAGAGACTATTTCTTCCATCTCAAAACGAATGTTCAAGTTTCTATTTTAGTTTGTTCCAAAATAAGTTACTCTTCAATTTTACTGCTTCTACTATTAAAAGCAAAATTATGATTAAGTTTATTAAACGTATATTAATTACACATTCTAAAAATGGTGTGCATTTCTCATCGTGACATTTATATTGTGAATTAAGAAGTATGATTTTGGGATAGGAGTAGTTGAAATTCGGGAATTTTGAAATCCCTCGACTTTTCAAAACTGCGGATATTTTTTTTTATTGTAAACATCAATTTTGGGATAAAAAAAGTACGGTCTAGTAGATAGAAATAGTTGAAATTTAGGGGTTCTAAAATCCCGCTACTTTCTAAAATTGTGTGTTTTTCGTTATAGACATTTATTTTGAGACTGATGAACGACAATTTTTTGAAGATAGAAGTAGCTGAAAACTCGGGTTTTTAAAATCCCTCACCTGTCATTCTTAATTTATAGGCATTGACAATACAATCCCTCCAACTTTCTAATATCACATTTTACTCCCCTTCAATAAATAAAGTTAATTCTTAATTAAAACAATCGTTCTTGGGTTATTACAATACTGCTTTTATTGACATCGTTAAAGACTTAGGGTTGTTTGGTTGGTTTTTCATTAAGTCTTGTATGCATATAAAGTTGTTTGTGTAGATTAATCTGTCTATATACATTGTGAATGTCTTGTTTGGTAGAGTTTTTTATATGTGAAATCAGCATGTTTTTTTATTGGAAGGGGCAAATATGAAAAAATAAAACTTGAAATCTGCATAAAGTTATCCTTAGAAGCTTATTGAATAAGTCACTAAGTCATTGTCAAACAGTCATGTATAACTGACAGAATAAGATGCGAGTCTTTTTAAACTCATAACACTCATATACACGACAACCTCAAGTTTCGACTTGATCGATACGACAACCTTATTAATAGAAAGGGTCGTATATACGCTCAAGCAACCTATCTTACTAATATAATAAGAATTAAGGGCCTAGCTAAGCCTTATGTTTGTAAAGCTACATCTCGAAAGCCGTGCTAACATACAAACCCTTAGCTTAATGGAAAATAACCAAACAACCCTAAACTCATGTGATTCATGTCCATCACTTCACACAAACTCGAGCCCTAATTATTCCATTGCTTTGGTTGTGAGAAAACAGTTATATTTTGCATGATCAAACTTTTTTCAACAAAAACAATGGTGTCTTCACATTAGTATTTCATAATTTCTCTAAAACGCCCATTTTAGCAACAAAAAAAAAGCCAAATTTGTTGGTTAAAATTTGAAGACATTTGTTATGATTATTATTTTGAGAGACAGTTTTTTAAAAGTTATATTCTGGTGTCTGTCATTTCAGACAAAAAAGGTTCATAAGTTTTTTCAAAGAATAAATTTTTATTTATAAAATCATATTAATATGTCTTTTTTTTCTTTCACGGAATTATAATATATTTTGTTAATTGTATCAAATACATGCATGAATGGAGTTACATCTCCTTTAGTTTGAATGATTGGATTGAATTTCATTTCAATATCATGTTCGGTTTAAAAGATTTAAAATAATCTCTTGATTTCATTGAAATCTCACATAGGATTTAAAATCCCATGGGAATGACAATGGCTGATATTTCATGGAATTTCGTAAGATTTGTATGTAATAATGTTTTAAAACATGTTTAAAAAATTCGTTCTGTTAATAATTAGTTAATAAAAAGATAATAAACTATACTTTTTAAAGGATTTATAATTTGTTTTTTTATAAATTATTTATAAAAAACAAAATTGAATTTAAATTCAAATCCTACAGACAAACACAACAAATATTATAAATCTTTCCACAAAATCCAAAACCTCAAAACGATTCCATCAAACTAAAAGTTAAAAAAAATACAGATTTTATTTTATTATAAAAAATATCATTTTGCTATTGATTTGTTTAATTTCATGTGGTATTTTTTTTGATTATTCAGGTTTGTTATTTCACAATATTGTTTTAGTTATTTATTGAGTTAAATGATGGGGTTTCATTAGTTGTTAATCGTTAGGGTTTCCATTTGAAAAATGATATTCTTTTTAGTTGTTACGTATATTTGTTGACTGTTTGGGTTCGGTAACTTTACCAAACGATGTTAATTATTATATTACCTCGTTAAAAAAAATGAAATGAAGAAGTGATGATGATACTCCACACCCTAAACTCTAGTCATTTGATGTATAGGGAAATTGATTTAGATGTTTTGAATTATTGTGTGATTTGTGCATAGAAAGAGAAGCATTTGACAATGTTACGAGTGAAGATGTGATAAACCACTTTTAAAAGATGCATATGTGTTTCTTTTAGCATCATCTATTCTTCGGTGGGTGCTCATTACTCATAAAAAGAAATTCTAAAAGGGATTTTTCATTTATGCTTTATATTCATGCAATTTGTATTAAGTCATGTATGTAAGGAAGAGAAAAAGAATTAACCGGTAAGCAGATTATCCATTACTATAATAAGTAGATTTTTTTAAGTAAAATATCTTGAATAAAAATTAACTTAACAGTAAATTGTTGTAATAAAATTCAATGAAAGTAAAACACGGTAACAATTTTTTTATAAGACTAAATTGCTAACTTTTACTTTTAACCCTCTAATATATATTATGTTCATCAAACTCCGAACACCAAAATTTCATGGATCCATCATTAAATTTATGGTATGTTTGCTTAATTGCATCGAACACATATTATACGTTCACCTAAATTGAGTTTTTGAAAGTATATCCTCAAAATAGCAGTCAGATGAAAATACTTTTTTTATTTTAATGGAGTTTATCACTGAATTAATGTATAATTAAAAAAAAAGCTTTTGCATTATTAAATTTTTGTGTACCTGATGATTATAAATATAACGACGTATTTCCTTTTGGTGTTCTGCAGATAGAACGGCATCCATTTTCTCCATCACATGCAATCCAATAATCTGCAAAATAATTTGACATTTTTGAGCAAAAAGATTGAGTTTCGACGATCCAAATCAGTTTCATATTGTACCCAGTCTCCAAGGAATTCAGGGTGAGTAGACTACTTAATACTCACCCACGTGCATGAGGGAGGCCTGACTCGAACCCAAGACCAACAATTTATTGAGCAAACATCTCATATCCTTTAAGCCAAAACAAACTAAACTTCGAGAGCAACAATTTGAAATGTTGGTATCAATTTTTGAATAATTCTTTTCGTATAAACAACAAGGAAATTATCCAAATTTCGAATTTGAGATTAATTTTCCTTCTAACACCCCCCCACCCCAAACACACACACACATATATATATATATATATATATATATATATATGTGTGTGTGTGTGTATATCTATATATAGAGAGAGGTTTACTTTGTAAATCACATTATTTGTACAAATCATACAAACCTCATTCAACCAATCATAACTTTTCATTTTGTTCATTTTTTTTGTAATTATGAGAGGTTGATTAATCATTTTTATTGTAAAGGGTGTTAAGCATTGATATTATCATTTTCATTATATTAATTTTAGATAAATACATGAAACAGTTTCATTAAAATTTCATAAGTATTATATAAAACAATTTCATAATCATATATGAAACAATTTCATAAAAAAAAGTATTATATAAAACAATTTCATAAAATTAAACAATTTCATAAAATTAAACAATTTCATGAAAATTTTTCATAAGACTAAACAATAAAATCGATGGATGAGGATGGTTTGCACGGTTTGTACAAATATGGATGGTTTGCATTTAATCACTCACACACACACACACACACACACACATATATATATATATATATATATAAAAGACAGGAGTTCAAATTCAAATATAAATACATATACATATATAAATCAAAATTTAAAACTTAAAAAACAATTGGAAACGAGTATTTAGTGGTTAGTACTTAACAATCCAAAAATATATAATTTATTCATCTAAAAATAAATCAAAGTTTTAAATGGTGTGAGGCATGGCGTGGCAGCAATATTAAACCTCAAGACCACAACTTTTTTTAAGGCATGGTTTAGGACGATAAATACGTATATCATGTATACACCCACTGACACACACACACACACACACACACATATATATATATATATATATATATATGTGTGTGTGTGTGTGTGTGTGTCTTCTACCAATACTTAATAAGTCAATGATGTTAAGCAATTTGAATTACATCATATATTATAAACTACAAAGTAAGAAAAATCAAATATCGCGTTACATAAACTACCCGTTGGATCATGACGTGCCACATACTTAACTTGACGTCAGACATGAGTTTTGAACCACGGTACACCATGATGATCGTAGTGGCAGTTATTTTAGAACACTCATTAAACAATATTGTTATCGTTTATCAAGACTTAAATCCAAAATATTAATTCAAAGATAAATTATACTCAAAATGCTTTGACAAAACTCAAAAGCATCTTACATGACCATTTTTTCACAAAATATACCATTTAAATCTAAATCATTTAAGATAAGATTCAATAAAGAATTTAAATCTTCAATCTTTCTTTGCGAGTGCAAAGACATTTGAGGGGGACTAAGGACCAACCATTATTTGGGGTTGTTTATTAATAAATAAAAAAGTTGCTTTTATATTGTTTCAAGTATTTGGCCAAGAGTTGGGATAGAACTGGATATGGATTTCTTCACTGATCTAGTTTCATAGGTGGTGGTCGTCTAGGGAAAGAAGAGAAGGGGAAGAAAAAGAGGGGAGCGATGGGTTTGACGATGATCAGCACCGGTCTAACGGAGTAAAGACTGGCATGAGATAGCTTTTTTGCGGGAACGATGTGGTCTTTGTATGTAAAAACATATGAACATATAGAATCATATGATATATGTAAAATAATTATATATATTTACAAATATATAAATGATATATTTTTAAGGGAAAAATATAAAAGGACCAAAATACCTTCGATTTAACGGAACTAAAGTTAACAGCGTTAGGACAAGAGACCTAATACATAGTAAAAATGAAACCATCATGACCATGCGTGTAAATATTTTGCTTGAGGGACCCAATCCAAACTTTTGTATAACCACAGTGAACAAATCTGTAATTTACTATTTAATGTATGAATGAAGAAGTGATTTCAGATATGATAATTATTCATCTTCCAACATATAAGTATATACTCGTTGATAAACCTTAATTAAATTCGGTGTTTTATATGTTTGTTTTCTTATTAAAAATGTTTTTAGTGTTTTTTTAGTATGTGGTTGGAGTTGATTTCTTTTAGTGTTCAATGCGTCAATCATTTTAAGTGTTTTTCTAATGTTCGGGTTGAAGATGGTCTAAATGAGTCACAAGGATTTGGGATAGGAAATTTTTACTTTCGAGATGCATGCTACCACGGACACCCATCGTTGACAAAAAAAAAATCGTTGATTCTTACCAGGCCAGGAAGAAGAAACAGAGGACCTCCATAATCAGAAGGCCAACTTCCATCCTCACCTTGAAGAGTTGAGTAGAACTTCAATGCCTTCTTCAACGTTTTCACCAAAACTTCATCCTTCAAATCATCTTTTTCCACTACTTCTGGTTTTTCAATTTCACTACGATTCATGTTTGCAAACTGCAATTGATGAGTTCAATCTTCAGTTCCAATATATAAATACGATAATTTAATCAGCTATTAATGAAAACATCACCTGGAATCTCATAAGAAGATCAGAACTATGCTTCACATTCATCTTGTTTTTAGTAAATTCTTCACGAATGTTCTCGATTTCAGATCTTTCCTCTTGAGTCCCTGAGCTTGGATCAAATTCCCAAAACTGTCTACCAATGTGGTGATTTACGCTTCTAACCTGTGGATCATCTTCGCCTTTAGACAGCTTAAGCTTCCACATTATTTTCTTCACCGATCAGACTTATAGATCTACAATATGAATGAGATTGAAGGTTGGAATCCATGGAGGTTATGGTGTATTGATTATTGAGACGATATCTTTGTTGCAAAAAGGTTAGTTATGTATTTTAGATGTTATAGATACACATGAGGTGTTTGCAGGTGTGTTCTTTATCCAATTTTAAAATCAAAATTAAAATAACCATAAGGATGAAAATCGTAAATCAAATTTAAACTAGACTATAACAAAACGGCAATTTTAATATCATAAAAGTGAAATCCATATATGAAAACGTTTTTTTTAAAAGGAATGTTATATACACCATCATTTATGCTAGAATCAAGTTAAATCATGAATTGAAATGTAAAAAATAAGTTTTAATGTTAATATGTATAAGAAGAAAATTAGTAAAATAAAATGTATTTAATATATCTCTTAACAACTTAAAAAATAAAATTGAACTTACAATTAAAATGAAGACTTATGAACATGCATGATCCCACTCTTCTTTGGAAAAGAAAAGGATGTGTTGATAGAAGTAAGGAGGGACACTTTTTATAGGTGCACAACCCAAGTCTCATTTGTTTCATATACATAAAATAAAGAGTCATATGTTATTTAACTCATTTTTTTAATCATGTTATTAATTTGGGAGCTTTTGTAATATTTTATTTACTAAATGAGATGACAAAAGGATATGAGTAGATGTTTTTTAAAATCATGTCATCAATCATTTTATAGTAGGAAGTTTGGTCGTGTGTGAAGTAGAGTTAAGGTAAGAAGCATAAGAAATAATTTGGACTCGTGATCACCTTTTATCTCAAATTCACCCGTATTATAACACTTTTATATAAAATATTTCCTTGTTTGGTCCTACAAAATTCATATAAAATAGTCTGTTAGGACGGAAACGATCAAATGTCAAGCTCCTAGCTAGGCTATCTCTATTAGAGAAGCAGCTAGCCAGACTTGTCGTTGTCGGAAACTTCTTGATTCTGATTTGAATGTTCCTTCTACAATCAAGGGCATATTTAATAAGGCCCGAAGGAGTTTGCACCCGCTCTATTGTTCTGACGTAGTGAAAAAGTTATATGATCTTAAAGATCCATCCACTTTAATATGATTTGGGCTCTTTTAGGTTAGCAAAAAATAGTTGCAAACTTATTGGTAGTGTTATTACATGTGTAATTAACGGTTGCAACCTCAATCCTTTTAAGCTTGTTTGGTGTTATGTAGAGGTTCAATTTTGCCGACCAATTCATGTTCCATTAATACCAATATAATTAGGACCGGTTGTCAAAAAGTTAATAGTATTGTATCAATTATGTAAAGTTGGTTGATAATTGGTATTTGAAGTCGTGTACTATGATAATATTGTACAACACTAACTAACTTTTTTTGAACTAATTATTGATTAATGTTTAATTGATGATAAATAATATTTTGTTTTTTAAACTTTTGATTATCTTATTTTCTATTTTTATAAATTCTAAAGTTTTACAATTAAAGGTTATTCAATAACAACTTCTTTAGGTTGACGACTACATATAGTTAATGTATTATTCATACGAAAGTCATTTCAGTACTTGTACAAGTAGGGATGAATATTGTTACGATATTTATAACTTGATAAAAATATCAATGCAAAATAAATATATAACGTATTCATTAAAATATCTTGGATAAACTTATCGATCATAATAAATCTTGTCAATATTTTATAATGATTGTTAATTAATAAATACAAAGAAATTTAACATATAGTTTAAGAAGAGAGGATATTATTTTTCATATAACGGATAATAAAAAAGGTATATTTTTTACAATAAATAAGTACAACTACTATTATATGTGCAACTATTTGATACGACGTTATAATAGTAGTATACAGGCAAAGCATAATTATAATTTTTAAATAAATAGAAAAGAAATATAATTAAATTAAAAGCATAAATATGCGAGCCATTATAGGGGACCAATGAGACCACTCTTGATTTGAAATTAACAATTAGAAAATGGCATAAAAGGGATTGACTGTGACTTATCAATTATTTGAGTAATTCAACCTTATTTGAAAATCTCTGGAATACTCAAACCTCATGTTGTGTAGATATCATACTTGGTTTCACTTATAATTTTACACTATAATTTTATCCATTTGGTTGGTTATGATTCCAATCATGGTTATAAATTTCAAAGAATTTATCGCTCCTTTATATATCATTAATCTTCTTTCAAAATATCATCATTGTGTTAATGTGGATGATAAAACTCAACTTTATTTTAAAATGATTGACATTTTACGAAGTGAATAGTTTGTTTTTAACTTTATGTTTTGCGTGATAATTTACTTGTGTGTTTTGTACTATAACTTTTTTCATTTGGTTGATTTTGATTTCAATCATGATTATATATATATATATATATATATATATATTCTAAAGAGGGTCATCCAAGATAAGATAACCCCGTGAATTGACACAATGACATCTAAGTATCCAATTCATCTTTCTTATACACACCATTTTGTTCAAAATCTTCAACTCTTCATCAATGTGGGACAACTAAATTCACCTACAATTCATCATTTGTATTTATTCAATTCTCATGATGTCACCTTAATACCCCAATGTTTTCCTTATAAATATATATAAAGAATATTTTACTGTTTGGTTGGTTTTGATTTCTATCATGATTATATATATTCCAAAGAGGGTCATCTAAAATAAGATAACCCTATGAACTCACACGAACGCAATCTATCCGCTTTTCTTATATACACCACTTTGTTTAAAAGTTTCAACTATTCATCAATGTGAGACAACTAAACCCAATCACAATTCACCATTTGAGAATATTCAATTCTTATGGTGCCATTTTAATATCGCAAGATTTTTGTTTTATATATAGAGGTAAGGATTATAGTGCAAAACATACAATTAAAATATCATGCAAAACATAAAGTCAAAAACAAACTATTCAATTCATAAAATATCAATCATCCTAAAATAAAGTTGAGTTTCATCATCCCACATTGGAAGAAGTTTAAGGATATATAAAGAAGTGATTGATGCTTTGAAATCTAGAACCCCGATTGGAATCAAATCAACCATATAATAAAATTATAGTGCAAAACACAGAGTTAAAAGTATGATGCAAAACACTGAGTTAAAATACGATTTAAATATGAAACTAAAAAACCACATTGATGATGCACCCTAATACTTGAGTGATCTTCATTTCTTGAATTATAGATGAGTTTTGTTTAGCCCACGTTGATTGAAAGGTGAAAGGATTGACAATGAATGATATGTATATGAAAATAGGCTGAGATGTCTTTGTGGCAACTCATGGTGTTAGCTCTCTTTAATCAATCCTCTAAACTCAAATTCTTGCCACATTCGGACTGATCCTCCGAAATTCATGGAGTTGGTTCATTTCGACCAAACCCTCTTAAAAAGTTAATCTATATAAAAAATTAGATAAATAAATAAATTAAATCATATATATATATAGAGAGAGAGAACAATAATCAAATGAGAATCACAAAAAATTGAGAACCTTGAGAACCAATCTCAACTATCTAATCACTCTAATCTAACAACTTTAGCTAATGTTTCATTTATAATTAAGGAATGTGTGATAACTGGGTCTTGGGTATCACCCTAGGTAATTAGTACGTGAGTATTTGTTATATGATTACGTGAAAGCATGATAAAATGTTATATTTGATCATGCGAGTATGTGAATTATTATGCATGAGTATGTATGC